TTTAAATCCCAACAAGCTTCAATCAACAAACATTTTATCACACCTAACAAAAAGAAAAGTTAAAGAAGGTATACTGTAAATCATAATTCTGGCAATTTTCTATGACAGCCAGTTCCCTATTCACAAATCCATAATCACTGATTAAAACATCAACCTACCATTTAGGCTATCTTACATACATCATTGTTTTCTCACCAAACGCGTAAGAAAATATTTGTTAAGTTTCTAAACAAAACAGGGATATCTGTTTTATTGGTTTAGCACATTACGCAATCATCTGTTATATGAACCTATTTCCAAACTCTACATCTGGTACCGGGCTACAGGGGCAGTGGGCTACAGCCGCACCCAACCAGGGGCTTTGATCACAACTTGGAGAAATAAATTTAATTATATGTAAAGCTATTCATACATCAGAATTTTATTGACAAAATTCAATGCATTCATCCAAAATATATGCATAATGATTTTGAGCCCGTTAGTTAAAACATTGGATCCATAAAAAGTCCCTGTGCATTTAAAGAAATTTAGGTAGTATAAACTTTTTGTTTAAAAAGAAAATAACAACAATGATAAGCCTGTTTAGTTAAATTTTTATTTAGTTCCTTCACCTAATAACTAAAAAATTTTCAATCTATATAATGCGTTCATTGTTTTAATGTTTGGAAAATTATACCCTTGACGCTGCTAGAGGTAGATTTATAATTCTTACCTAATTTTCAGTGCGAAATTAATTTAATATGAAAATAATGATGAAAGAAAGATATTCTAGTAATTAATTATAAAAAGATAATAGGCATTCATGCCAATTGAATAAACAGAGTGGTAAAACTTTAATAGAATCGAAATAAGCACTCTGGTGTTCCAAATGATAACGTACTCTACATATTTAATAATTTCTTTTATGTTAAGGAAAATAACAATAGAGGGAATAAAAATAAAAAAAGAAATGATGCTATTTAGTTATACCCTATAGGTTATTGAGTTATTTACAATTTTCTACATAGTAGAATTCCTACAAAGTTAGATTTCTTATTTTGATTGTATTTTGGTACTTATATTATGATATCTACTTAGTTATTGTTTATACGATTATTACTCAAATATTAAGTTATTGATTTGACCATTCAAGTATGAAATTTCAAGTATTGGTTCTTAATAAATTTGTCAAAATTTTATGCTCAACAGCTCCTTGTCTTATATTAATTGGTATCAGAGTTTAAACTGGGATTCATATCGATGTCCTACTTTTCTCATCCCAACTTCACAAAACACAACCCTATTGCCAAAAAAAGGACGAAAACTAAAACCCTAAATCAGTTACCGTCAACAACAGGAGACAAAAACCTCAAAGCAAATGTCGGCTCAACTCAATCCTTGGCCACAGCCAAGAGGTGGTCAACACTACCCCTTATGTTGGCTTTAGAGGAGTCCAATCAACTTTTCCACTAAGTTTCAGTGCTCGTTGTTGTTGGGAACCACAAGTCTTTGCT